GGAAATGTGTCCTGTTCTGGGAGGCTTGGAGTCAGGCAGAGCTCCTGAGCCCTCTCCACTGTGTGAGCCCCATGGTTCTGAGCTGGAAATGTGTCCTGTTGTGGGTGGTTTGGTGTCAGGCAGAGCTCCTGAGTCCTCTCCACTGTGTGAGCCCCATGGTTCTGAGCCCAGCACAAGGCCAGGCCTGGCAGGGCTGAGTCTAACAGGGCACTCTGGGCTGCAGTGACACTTCAGCCAGGCATTTGGCTGAGCAGCTGCTGGCTTGTTTAGGTGCTGATTCCTGGAGCTTTGCTCCTTGCTCAGCCAATTGAGTTTTAGTTTAGAGAGCTAAATTGTCAGAGTGGCTGAAAATTCCCCTTGGAGTCAGTCCTGCAGTGGAAGGCTGAGGGACAGGCTGTGAGTGGCTCCAGAGCTCTGTGCCAGGCAGGCTCCAGAAGGCAATTGTTACTGACATTCAAAAATGGTTTTCATTAAAACCTCTCCAGGATCAGAGCAGAGCTGTGTTCCCTGGCTCTGCTGCCAGTAGATCCAGGGAACACAAGGGCGAGTTCAGACTGTCCTTCCATCTTGTGGAGAATCTGGCAGCTCCAGGCTGCTTAACTCCATCTTCAGAGCAGGGAGAGAGAGCCTGGAGCTGAAACTCTGATTCAGATGTGTTTGCTGGAAGTCAGCTGTATTCAGTAAACGTTCAGTCATTTTTGTCTGATGACATGCTCTTACAAGAAGCTGGAATCAACTTGAGAAGGAGTTGCTGAGGAACGTGTTTGGTGTACATGAGCTGTGTGGGCAGCCTGGAGAAAAGCAGGCTCAGGGAACAGCCTCAGTTTGTGCCAGGGAAGGTGGTTCAGGTTGGACATCAGGAATTTCTTCCTGGAAAGGGGGGTTGGGCATTGGCAGGGGCTGCCCAGGGAGGTTTGGAGTCCCCTTCCCTGGAGCTGTCCAAGGAAGGAACAGATGTAGCACTCAGTGCTTTGGGCTGGTGACAGTGTGGGGATCAGGCACAGCTTGCACTGGATGATCCTGGAGGTATTTTCCAACCTGGATGATCCTGTGTAAGTTGAGAGCAGCACAGTTGGTGTCAGAGCTGTCCCAGCTGGCAGAGCTGTGGCCGCTGCTGCTCTGGCTGGATCCGGGCACAGCGTGGGTCGCTGGTGCAGCTCAGCAGTGCCAAGCTGGCTTTGTTCCCATTCAGTGTTACAGCTCCTGGCAGGATCATTAGCACCATGTTTAAGCTGGGTACCTGCTGTGCTTTAGCTGAGGTTTTAGCCAGAGAAGTTTAAATTCTGTTCTTCTAACATTCCCATCTTCTGTTGTGCAGCCAGAGGAACTCAAGATGGCCACGCAGCTCACAGGACCTGTCATGCCCATCAAGAACGTAAGTGTCCTTTAATCATGTTCTGGGTGTGATGTGATTGAGGTTGGACTTGTGGAGAGGGAGAGGGTTCTGTCCTTGCTGCCTCACAGCTGAGGGTGGCTGTGTCCAGGCATTGCCCATCCTGGATCAAAAGAAAACCAGGAATAAGTCTTTGAGAGAACTGTGAAATTGTGGGTGCTTTGGGTTCAGCTGGGGTGGGAGTGCTCAGGCAGCTTCTGTGGTCACCATTTGTCCCTAAATCCTCTCTGCTTCCCAGAGCTGCTGTCAGTAGTGTCACAAACCTCTTGTCATTCCCTACAACTCCCTGACAGGAGGGTGGAACTGGGAGGAGGTCAGGCTCTCCTCCCAGATGATAAGTGACAGGAATAGAGGAAACAGCCTCATGCTGTGCCAGGGGAGGTTTAATTTGGATATTAGGAAAATTCCTTCACTGGCCAGGCTGTCCATCCCTGGCACAGCTGCCCAGGGCAGTTGGTAGAGTCCCCATCCTTGGGAGTGCTCGATAAACACATGGATGTGGCACTTGAGGACAAGGTTGGTGGTAACCATGGTGGTGCTGGGCTAACAGCTCGCTATTAAAGGTCTTTACCAGCCTTAACAATGCTGTGATTCTGTAAAGCTGACTCAGGTTTCCCGTGGTGCTTGTTTTCATTCCTGCTCCTGTGAGGAGCCTGCGGGAAGGCAGATCCCGGCGGAGGGCAGGGCCTGTAGATGGCACGAGCGCTCTGTTCCCGCTGCTCTCACAGACACCATGGCGGGAAACCTGGGCTCGGGGGGCAGCCTGACTGTCTGGCTCCTGAGGGGCAGCTCCTGAGGCTCTCAGCCCCGAGGGGCAGCCTGACTGTCTGGCACTCTCCCCGCAGGTTTTCAAGCGGGAGAAGGCGCGTGTCATCTCTGAGGACGAGAAGAACTTCAAGGCCTTTGCCAGCCTTCGCATGGCCCGGGCCAACGCTCGCCTCTTCGGCATCCGCGCCAAGCGCGCCAAGGAAGCGGCGGAGCAGGACGTGGAGAAGAAGAAATGAACTGTTCTCCCCAGAACTGTCAATAAAGAGCCGTAGAGAGCCCGGTGTGCTGTGGTTTTGGGGCACATGGAGCGAGCGGAGCCGCCCCGTGTGCCTGTGGCGGTGCAGGGATGTGTTCCAGCGTGGGAAGCCTCGTTCACTGTGATTGGAGGCTCCGCATTTCCCAACTCGAGTTAAACACCTGTCTTGTGCCCACTCCTCTGCCTTGTCAGGGCCGCAGCCTGGGCTGCCTTCTGCTCTGATTCTGAGGGGCTTTGGGGGTTCCATCTCAGTGCCAGGCTTTGTCTGCTGCCCCCTCTTGCCTTCCATGCCTATTCCTGGTTTGATGATTCCCACACCTCTGTTTGAGGCAAAGCCTGTACAAGTTGGGTGTTGTGGTGGGGACACTAAGGTGCTGCCCACATGGGGAGCTTTCCCCACTTTTGGGGGGATAAGGTGTGGCCCAGCCCCTCTGCTGGGCTTGGATGGAGCCAAGTCCTAGGGCTGGACTGCTGCTGTGCCATCCTGCATTCCCTGGCCCTTGGCTCAGCTCCTGCTCCATGCTCCAGTTCTAGGCCGCTTTTAGCCATTTCTTCATGGATTAAAGGCCATCCCATGGTAGATGTGGCATCTGGGGACATTGCGGTGGCCTTGGCAGTGCTGGGGAGAGGGCGAACTGATCTGGGAGTCTTTCCATCCCAAATGGTTCTGTGATAGTTTAAATGGCACCACAGGAGCTCAGAAGAAACTGGGGGGTTCTGGCTGATCCTGGTGGCTGCTGGGGAGATCCCAGGCTCTGCCTGTCCCTGGGCAGGGGCTGATGGGTCCCTGGGATGGGGTGGGATCAGAGCTGCTCCAGGAGCACCCACCCAGCCCTGGGATGGGATGGGATGGGGCACAACACTCAGTGCTGGAATCCCGGCACAGCTGCGAGGTTCCTGGGCGGTTCGAAGAGGTGAGATGTGCCTGGTGAGGTGCTGCCCGTGTCCCATCACCACGGTGTCCCTCCAGCCCCTCTGCCCAGCCCATGTCCTGCTGTGGGTTGGTGCCTCCTGCCCTACCGAGCCGTGCAGGGGCTGTGGGGGGAGTGGGAAGGAGGGTGGCCTATTTCTGCCAGCCAGGCTGGGGATTAGCTCCTGAAAGCCCGGGCCCTGTGGTGCCCTCGTGCTTGTTAGCCCTATCTGCATTTTAATCCCTCCAAATTTGAGCTAATTACATCATCTCCCATAAAGCTGGGTTGACAGCGCTGCAGTGCTGGGGGGACAGGGGTGGGTGGGGGGTCCCGGGCTGGGGACTCAGCCCATGGGGCTCCATGTGCATGGAATGTGGGTCTGGATGCTCCAGCATGTGGGGAGGGCACCCCCTGGGTTTGGGGGGACCCCACCATGGGGTTGGGCTGTTGGCTCAGAGTGTGGGGGGCCAGGACCAAGGTGGCCCTAGGTACCCCATGGGGAGCACTGGGGCGGGTGGGGGGCGGTGGCTGTGCCATGGGGGTCTCACTGGGAGCAGGAGCTCCTGCCCTGGCACAGCCAGCGGTGCCGGGCACCCTGCGGACCCCGCTCAGCCCCGCGGCGGGGTGGGCTCCGCTCCGGAGCCGGCAGCGAGGCAGTTAACGGAGCTTGTCATCCATCTCCCTCTTAGGGCTCCGCTCCCGAGCTGCAGCTTGAGTCAGTTGTGTGGAGGTGGCAGCGGCAGCAGCTCCGGCGGGCACACCGGCACACCGGCACGGCGGGCACGCCCCGAGCCAGCCGCTGCCGTGCCCAGCCCGGGACATCAGCACCCAGGTGAGGGGGCGACGGGCAGGGTGGGACCCGCTGTCCCCTCCACTGAGCGGCGGGTGATGCCAAGGGGTGCCCGCGATCCCGGGGAGGGGACGGTGCCCACCGGAGCCAGGACACCGGAGCCATGTGCCAGGGAGGGCCTGGGCACTGCATGACTTCCCCAGGAAACTTCGGCCGGGCTGGGCACGGGAGGGCACAGCTGGGCAAGGGCTGCTCTGCCCCTGCCCCAGCCTGGAGCCCCCGGCACCTGCAGGTGGGGGGACAAGCCCGGGCTGGGGCCGGGACTGGCACAGCCCCTCGCTGCCGGTCAGGCACCATCACCTGGCTGGGTGCTGCCAGCCTCGGGGGCAGGATGGACGCTGTCCCCAGCACGGGGGAATTGTCACCCGCTGCCACAGACACGGAGTTGGTGTCCCCACTCCCCTCCGGAGAGCCCTGCCCGGGCTGGGGGTGCTGCCCACAGAGACTGGGGGGGTTTCTGCTCCACAGCCCCACACGGGGCAATCCAGGGTGGGCACCCCACCCCAGTTAGGTCCCCCCTCCCCTCGGGACTCATCCTGCCGCTGGGGTGGGGCTGGGGCACGGCTGGGCACGGCCCTGCAGGACAGTGTGAGCCCCACAGCTGTGCCCACGGTGCTGGCTGGGATCTGGGGGCACCCGGGCCGTGCCAGCTCCCGCTCACCCCGCCGTGCTTTGGTGCCTTGCAGAGCCCCGCGGAGCCATCGGGGCTGGAGCGGCCCCCCCGGCTCGGAGGTGTCCCGGGACCCCTGGCCTGGCACCGGGGCCGTGCCCGGCAGCGCGGGCCCCGTGCCCTGGGCATGACGGGCACCTGCCCGGCTCGCTGACAGCCCGCCCGCCATGCCCTTCGCCCACGGGGCCGCCTGTGCCCCGCCGCGCCCGGCTGGCACGGGCGGCGTGCCCGAGCCGTGCCCGCAGGCCCCGCTGGCCGTGCTGTCCAAGGTGGAGCTGCGGGTCAGCTGCAAACACCTCCTGGACCGAGACACCCTCAACAAGTCGGACCCCTGTGTCCTGCTGCTGATGCAGTCCCAGGGCCAGTGGATGGAGGTAGGAGAGAGAGGGGGGCACTGCTGGCACCCGCCGGGCAGGGCAGGGTGGGACCCGGGCACAGGGTGGGGCATGTAGGGGGCTGCAGGAGATGGTGGGGGCGAGGTGCAGGGCGCAGAATGGGGGTCAGGGTGCAGGAGTTGGTAGGGAGCAGGGTACAGGAGAGAAAGGGGTACAGGGTGCAGAAAGGGGTGCAGGGTTCAGAGCAGGGTACAGGAGATAAGGGAGAGAAGGGGGTACAGGGTGCAAAGTGGGGTCCTCGGCGCAGAACAGGGTGCAAGGTTCACACCAGGGTACAGAGTGCAGAGCAGGGTGCAAGAGATGATGCAGAGTAGGGTGCATGGTGCAAGACAGGGTGCAGGGTTCAGACCAGGGTGCAGGAGACAATGAAGAATGGGCTGCTGGGTGTAGAGCAGGTTCAGAAGGGGGTACAGGGTTCAGAATGGGGCACAAGGTGCAGAACAGGGTGCAGGGTGCAGACCGGGGTACAGGGTGCAGAGCAGGGGTGCAGGATGGGGTGCAGGAGATGGTGCAGAACAGGGTGCAGGGTGCAGAACGGGGTCCAGGGGGTGAGGCAGGGTGGGCAGGGCACTGTGGGGCACCCGGCAGCCTGTGGGGATGGATGGGGCTGCAGTGGGGCCGGGGAGTGGGGCGGGCACGGTGCCCGCTGCTCGCGAGTGGCTCCAGTGCCCCGGGACAGGGACACCTCAGCCGCCCTGGGGTGGCTCAGGGCTGGAGGGCTGGTGCTGATACTGGGGCTGACATTGGCACTGGGGCTGGCATGGGGGCTGGCAGGGCTCCTTCCATCCCTCCCCGTGCTGAGCTCCTGGCTGGCACCACAGCCCCGCTCTAATCGCGGCCGCTCAGCCGGCGGATTTAGCGCTAAATCCCTCGGCGTGTCATCGACTCTGCTCCAGCCAGCGCCGAGCCGGGGAGGGAGGGGGGGACAGGGGCACCGTGCCAGCTGCGGTGTGCTGTGCCACGCCAGACACTTGTACCGGCTGTGCCACAGTGCCTTGTGCCACACTCTGTGTGCTGTGCCACGCCAGACACTTGTACCGGCTGTGCCACAGCTCTCTGTGTGCTGTGCCATGCCATGCCACACTCCAGGCTGTGCTGTGCCAGACACCAGCCAGCTCCAAGAGGCAAGAGGGTCCCTCCTGAGCCACCTTTTGGAGTGACTCCTGTCCCAGCCAGCCTGTGCCCCAGACCAGGTGCCTGAACGTGGCTCTGCTGCTGGCTCTAAGGCCCTGGGTCCAGAGGGTCCGAGGACCCAACAGCCACATCCCCAGAATGGGGGGCTGGCAGTGCCCACACAGGAGGGACACGGGTGGCCGTGGCAGAGTGGCAGCAGTGTGGGCTCGACAGATGATGCCGGACTGAGCAGGCGGTGATGGGCAGGGGCCAGGGGCTGGCAGGGTGCCCTGGCCGGGATGTGTCCCCTTGAGTCACCCCTGGCAGGGATGAGTGTGGGGGAGGCTCCGGAACTGCTCAGTACCCGCTGCCAGCACGGCCAGGAGCTGCTGGGCACCCACTGCCCACTGGGGCCACCAGAGCTGGGGCTGGTGACCCCCAGGATGGGCACAGCTGCTTGTCCTGGCACCAGCCCCTTGCTCCTGCTCCAGCAGAGCTGTGGCAAAGCACAGTCAGAGGCAGAGTATCCCCTTGGATGACCACAGGGAGCCCAGCGGGAGCAGCATCCCACACCCAGGGCTGGAGCCTGTGGGGGGCACAAGGGGCTCCTCCAAATGCCACTCACTCGGGCACAGCTGGTCCTTCCCTGCATTCCCTGTTCTGCACCCCTATCCCTTCATCCCTCACTGCCCCATCCCTCCTCCCTGTACCCCTCAGCCTGGCACGTGCCATCCCTTCACCTCCCCTTACAACAGCCCCCATCCCTCGTCCCCGTGTGAGCCCTGGCACCCCAAGGCCCCGTGCCACCCCCTCGCAGGTGGATCGCAGCGAGGTGATCAAGAGCAACCTGAACCCCGTGTTCGCCAAGATCTTCACGGTCGATTACTACTTCGAGGAGGTGCAGAAGCTGCGCTTTGAGGTGTACGACAGCCACGGCCAGGCCGGCGTGGGCACGCACGACGACGACTTCCTGGGGGGCATGGAGTGCACCGTGGGCCAGGTGAGCCTGGGGACACCCCCTGGGGACCCCCCGGCCGTGTCCCCTCCCCAACGCTGGGCTCCCGCAGATCGTGGCGCAGAAACGGGTGACGAAGCCGCTGTTCCTCAAGTACGGGAAGTTCGCGGGCAAGTCCACGATCACGGTGAGCACCGGGCCCGGGATGCGGGTGGCACTGAGCAGGGACACTGGGGTGGCACCGGGGTGGAATCCTGGGATGGCACCAGTCAGGACACATGGATGGCACAGGACTGGGGTACTGGGACAGCACCAAACTGGGACTCCTGGGTGGCACTGGACTGGATCAGTAGGGTGGCACAGACTCTAGGTGTTGAAGAGGGCTCAGGGTCCCCCATTGCATCTGCTGCTCATCCTGAGGGTCCCTGCCGTGCCAGGGGGGCACGTGGGGCCCTGTCCCCTCCCAGGGCAGCACAGGGAGGTGGTGGGCAAGGGGGCAAAGCTGTGCCAGGCTCTGAGTACCCACCCTGCTCAGATCATCTCGGAGGAGATCTCGGGGAACAATGGCTACGTGGAGCTCGCCTTCCGTGCCAAGAAGCTGGATGACAAGGTGAGCTGGGTGCTGGGGGGGAACAGGGCAGGGTGGGCACTGCTCTCTCTCCTCCTCCTCCCCCAGGACCTGTTCAGCAAGTCAGATCCTTTCCTGGAGATTTACCGCATCGACGACGACCGCAGCGAGCAGCTGGTGTACCGCACCGAGGTGGGGCTGCGGTGGCACCGGGCCCCCACGGCCGCCCCGGGGGCTCCCGGCCCTGCTGAGCCCCCACCCCGTCCTGCAGGTGGTGAAGAACAACCTCAGCCCCATCTGGGAGCCCTTCAAAGTCTCCCTCAACTCGCTCTGCAGCTGTGAGGAGAAGAGGAAGCTGAGGGTGAGGAAGAATGATGGGGACTTCTATGCCTGCCCTGGGGCCATCTGAACCCCAGCTTCCCTGGGGGTGTGCTGGGCACCCCTCAGTGCCGGGGACGGGGCTGAGCCCCCCGGTGCCCCCCTGAGCCGTGCCCATCTCAGTGTGTGGTGTGGGACTACGACTCGCGGGGCAAGCACGACTTCATCGGGGAGTTCTTCACCACCTTCGAGGAGATGCAGAAGGCCATGGGGGAGAACAAGGTGGGACATGGGGACACGGGGATGGCCTGGGGTCGCCCTGTGTGCTGCCAGCAGAGCCTGTCCTAGCAGCCACCTTCCAGCTCCTCCTCTGGGTTCGGCATCATTCTCTTCTCTCTGCCCTCCTGTTTGGGGAAGGGATGCTGGGTTTGGGGTCAGTCATGGGTGGGGTGGCTGGGAGGGGAGGAAGGCAGCTGCACCCTGGGGCTCTGGGGGTGCAGGGTTATTGGGCTGCAGTGTTCTGGGGGTCCCCACGGGGCAGAGTGGCACCGGGGTGGGGGTGCCCTGGCTGGGCCGTGCCCGGGGGGCCGCAGGCAGCGCGGGTGCCGGTGCCGCAGGTGCAGTGGGACTGCATGAACCCCAAGTACAAGATCAAGAAGCGCAACTACAAGAATTCGGGGGTCGTGGTGCTGCTGGACCTGAAGGTGAGCGCCTGGGAGCTGTGCCAGGCCATGCCAGGCTGTGCCAGGCCATGCCAGGCTCAGTGGGGCACAGACACCTGACGCAGGTCCCTCTGGAAGATCCACAGGGTTTACTCCTTCCTGGATTACATCATGGGCGGCTGCCAGATCCATTTCACGGTGAGCAGCGTCCCCTCCCCGCCCAGCAGGGACAGCCCGTGGCCCTGCCCACCCTGGTGACCCCACTGTCCCCTCCAGGTGGCCATCGACTTCACGGCCTCCAACGGGGACCCCCGCAACAGCTGCTCCCTGCACTACATCAACCCCTACCAGCCCAACGAGTACCTCAAGGCTCTGGTGGCTGTGGGGGAGATCTGCCAGGACTATGACAGGTTGGTGGCTCTGGTGGGGCCACACACACTGGTGGCATCCACCCAGGGTGAGATCTGCTGGTGACAGGCACTCGGCGCTGGCACCAGAGCTCCTCACACCCTTCCCTTGCAGCGACAAGAAATTCTCAGCTCTGGGCTTTGGTGCCAGGATCCCCCCCAAGTATGAGGTGAGGGGGTCTGTGGGACCCCAGGATGTGCTGGTCCCTCTGGGTGCCCTCGGCTGTGGCACAGCTGGGCTTGGCAGGCACTGGGGGCTGTGTAGGGGTGCACCAGCTGCCCCCTCCTCTTCCTCCCTCCCTCCAGGTCTCCCACGACTTCGCCATCAACTTCAACCCCGACAACGATGAGTGTGAGGGTGAGTCCAGCTCCAGAGGGGCCGGGGCCGTGGCTGGCATGGCCCTCACCCCTGGCACACCCCACAGGCATCCAGGGCGTCGTGGAGTCCTACCAGAGCTGCCTGCCCAAAATCCAGCTCTACGGCCCCACCAACGTGGCTCCCATCATCTCCAAGGTGGCTCGGGTGGCAGCTGATGAGGAGAGGACCAAGGAGGCCTCGGTGGGTCCCCGTGCCCCGCCGGGGCCGGCTCAGACCCCGCACATGGGGGTCGGGCAGCCCCCGAGCATCCCTGTCCCCCCAGCAATACTTCATCCTGCTCATCCTCACCGACGGCGTGGTCACGGACATGGCGGACACGCGGGAGGCCATCGTGCGCGCCTCCTACCTGCCCATGTCCATCATCATCGTCGGCGTGGGCAACGCCGACTTCACCGACATGCAGATCCTGGACGGGGACGACGGCGTGCTGCGCTCCCCCAGGGGCGAGCCCGTGCTGCGCGACATCGTCCAGTTCGTGCCCTTCCGCGAGTTCAAGAACGTGAGTGGGGAGCGACGGCTCCTGCCTGCCCCTGCCTGCCCCTCCTGGCTCTTCCCTCCCCTCCCGACCTCTCCTGTCCCCTCCCGACCTCTTCTGTCCCCTCCGGTCCCCTCTTCCCCCCTCCCATCCATCCCTTCCCATCTCTTCCCCTCTGTCCCTCCTGTTCCCCCGGTCCCCTCTGCCCCTGTTGGCGCAGGGACCCGGTGCCCGCGGCTCAGCCCGGTGTCCCGGTGCCCGCGGCTCAGCCCGGTGTCCCGGTGTCCCGGTGCCCGCGGCTCAGCCCGGTGTCCCGGTGTCCCGGTGCCCGCGGCTCAGCCCGGTGTCCCGGTGTCCCGCAGGCGTCGCCCACAGCCCTGGCCAAGTGCGTGCTGGCGGAGGTGCCCAAGCAGGTGGTGGAGTACTACAGCTACAAGGCCTTTCCCCCGCGCTGCCCCCGGCCCCCCAGCCCCGAGCCCAACCTCGGGTCCCCGCAGTGAGGGACCCCCGACCCCGCTTTTCCCCAGTGAGGGGCCCCCAGCCTCGCTTTTCCCCGGTGGGACCCCCAGCCTCGCTTTTCCCCGGTGGGACCCCCAGCCTCGCTTTTCTCCAGTGAGGGACCCCCAGCCCAACTCCAGCCTCAGTTTCCCCTGTGAGACGCCCCCAGTGCCCCCCAGCTTTGGCTGCCCCAGTGAAGGCCCCCAGCCCCAGTCTAACGTGCCCCAGTGAGACTCCCCCCATCCTGGTGTGCCCTGGGGACACACGGGGTCCCTGCCAAGCCCTGCCCTGCCACCAACCCCCGGCTGGGACATGGAGAAGGTCCCGGCCCCGCAGTGCAGGACACCCCCAGCACTGCCCGTCGAGCCCCGCTGTCCCCTCGGTCCCCTCGGTCCCCGCTTCTCTGTCACTGTGACCTTTGGAGGCTGCATGATCCCCCAATAAAGCACCGCCCTGTGCCCACCCTCCTGCTCTCTGGGTGCTGATCCCACCCTCGGGGGTCACTGGGGTGGGTGGGCAGGCCGGCAGCTCTGGCTGCTGCCGTGTCCCTCGCGGTGACACCGGTGCCCTGCCCGGTGACCAGAGCCGAGGGCAGCGCCCCCGTTCCGGTGTCCGGGGCCGGGAGAGAGCCGGGAGCGCCGGAGCAGCCGCGGCTTTGATGTGCCAGGGCCGGAGCTCACCCTGCTGTGCCACGGCCCCGAATCCAGGGCACGGAGCGGGGAGAGGCGGCCACGGAGCCGGCCCTGCTGCCCGGCACACGGCCACTGCCACGTGCCATGGGCTGTGTGCCATGTGCTGTATGCTCTGTGCCATGTGCCACATGGCATGTGCTATGTGCCCTGTGCCATGTGCTGTATGCCCTGTGCTGTGTGCCCTGTGCCACATGCCATGTGCCCTGTACCATGTGCTATGTATGTACCATGTATGCCCTGTGCTGTGTAACCTGTGCCACATGCCATGTGCTGCATGACCTGTGCCACACCCCGTGTGTCCCCAGCTGTGTTCCCTGTGCCATGTGTGTGCTGTGTGTGTGTATCCTGTGCCACGTGCCATGGGCATGTGCCATGGTCACCTGTAACACGACTGTGTCACGTCCCATGTGCCACACTGTGTGCTGTGTGCCACGCGTGCCGTGTCCCACGTGTGTGTTCCGTGTGCCACATGCTGTGTGCTACGTGCTCTGCCATGTGGCATGCAGTGTGGCATTGCTGTGTGTCTGTTCCCTGTGACATGTGCATTGTCCTGTGTGAGTTGTCATGTTCCCTGTGCCATGTGTTGTCATGTGCTCTATGCCATTTGTCATGTGATGTGTTCTGTGTGCCCTGTGCCACGTGCTGTGTGCCATGTTCCCTGTGCCATGTTCCCTGTGCCAGGTGTCATGTTCCTTGTGCCATGTTCTGTGCACCCTGTGCCACGTGCTGTGTGCCATGTTCCCTGTGCCATGTGCCATGCATCATGCTGTGCCACGTGCCGGGCACTGTGCCACACTCCTGCCATGTGCCGTGTGCTGATGCTGCCAGCATGGTGCCAGCAGATGCTCCTGGCACGGTGACATCCTCAGGGGCAGGGTGTGCCCAAGGCCACCACAGAGACTGAAACCGTGGCCTGGCACAGCCTCACGGGGTCGGGGCCACCTGAGGTGCCACCGAGCTGGGCTCCAGGTGTTGCCATGTCCCTGGGCGCGGGTGCCAGGCTGGCCCAGGTGGGTGTCACTGTCCGGGACAGCTCTGCCGGCCCTTGGGCACCGCTGGCAGCACACGGCAGGGGCAGGGGCGCGGTACCTGCCCCCCCATCAGCCCCTATTTATAGCTGTGATTCATCCCTTCGGGGCGGGATCCCGGCTGTTGCCGTGGAAACCCAAACCTGGCACCGGGAGGATGCAGCGGGGCCGGTCCTGTGCGGGCAGGAGCTGCCCTGGCACCCCTGCCCATGGGGCCGGAGGGTGGGTGCAGAGGGACCCTCGGGGCTGGGAATGGCCAGGGACAGCTCGCTGGGCTGTCCGTGCCAGCAGGAGGGGCTGGCACAGGGGGCAGGGTTGGCAAGGCTGGCACAGGGGACAGGAGTGGCAGGACACTGGTGCCACTGTCCCACAGAGCCCAAGGAGCGTCTCACCAGCTCCCCCCTGTCAGCCAGGCCTGCCCAGGGCTCCTGGTGGTGCCAGGGCCGAGCCCGTTAATCACTGACTGAGCCTCTGCTGCCCGGGGGGCTCCACGGGGCAATTCCTTGGCAGGAGAGGGGCTGGGGGCTCCACGGGGCAATTCCTTGGCAGGAGAGGGGCTGGGGGCTCGGGCCGCTCCTGCCCGGCACACCCCAGGGTGCTGGGGGTGGAACGAGCCCCGCGGTGCCAACACCCAGCAGGGAGATGGGCAGGGGGAGCACCCAGCCGGGGCAGGGGGCACTGGAGGGAGGGCCCCGGGTGCTGCTGAAGGAGCCAGCCCCGTGCCACGAGCCGTGCTGTGCCCTGTCCCCACGCTGTGACCCCGCCCGGGCCGTGCTGCCCCCCCGGTCATTGTCCCCGCCCGTTAATGAGGTCCCCGGGGATGCGTCCCCACCCCGATGTGCTCCTGATAACAGCAGCTGTTCCTGATAACAGCAGCGCTTCCCGCCCCGCTCCCATGGGAATCGCTGCCTTCCAGGGAACAACAATAAATATTTATTTCCGCAGGGCGGGATGGGCGGAAAGAGGGGTCACGGCCACAGCCCCGGGCCGGGGGAGCGGGAGCACGGGCATGGCCACAATGCAGGGCGGGAAAAGCTCCCTGGGCCCAGCGAGGAGGAGGGACGGTGCTCCCAGACCCCCAGCCCCGGGGGGGGTGACACAGGGGGGGTTTGGAGGGGCCCTGCAGGGTCTCCACGTGGTTGTCAGCAGGTGAGGGCTCAGCGCCCCCCAAGCCCGGCTCCCTCAGGCCATGGGCCACTGTGTGGGCAGCTCCGTGTCCCCCATCTCCTCCTGGTAGCGCCGGTTGAAGAGGGCGTTCTGCTCGGGGGAGAAGTGGCTGCGCCAGTCCCCCACCACCCCTGAGGGACAGAGGGACAGCCAGTCAGGGTCCCTGTCCCCACCACCCCTGAGGGACACAGGGCACAGGCACTCAGGGTCCCTGTCCCACCACCCCTGAGTGACAGAGGGACAGCCAGTCAGGGTCCCTGTCCCATCACCCCTGAGGGACACAGGGACTGGCAGTCAGGGTCCCTGTCCCTGTCCCCACCACCCCTGAGTGACAGAGGGACAGCCAGTCAGGGTCCCTGTCCCATCACCCCTGAGGGACACAGGGACTGGCAGTCAGGGTCCCTGTCCCTGTCCCCACCACCCCTGAGGGACAGAGGGACAGCCAGTCAGGGTCCCTGTCCCATCACCCCTGAGGGACACAGGGCACAGGCACTCAGGGTCCCTGTCCCCGCGGTGTCCCCGCGGTGTCCCCACAGTGTCCCCGCGGTGCCGCACGCCCCCAGCCCCGCTCACCCTTGCGCATGAAGCGGCCCTGGCTGTGGTCCATGATCTCGGCGGGGATCAGGGAGTAGTTGGCCATGGCGTTGTCCCGCATGGCCGAGAAGCTGCAGTGCTGCTCCAGGGCTGCCAGCGTGCCCGGTGCCAGCGGGCACCCCAGGAAGGTGCTGAGGCGCTGCGCGGTGCCCCGCAGGTCCTGCGGCGGGAGCGCGGTCAGCACCGGGCACCGGGACAGGGACGGGGACACGGCGGGGCTCACACCAGGGACAGGGACGGGGATGGGGACACGGCGGGGCTCACACCGGGGACAGGGACGGGGACACGGCGGGGCTCACACCGGGGACAGGGATGGGGTGGGGACACGGGCTCACCTGGTGCAGCTCCTCGTAGGTGACATAGAGGATGTCCAGGCGGTGCCGCTGGCCCAGCCAGCCCTTGACGTGCTCAAACCAGGAGCCGTAGTGCACTGGGGGGAGGCGGGGGGTGATGGGGAGCCCTGAGGCTCAGTCCCCCCCCCCAGACTCCCCCGTCCCTACCTGTGCCCTCGAGGAACTGCGTCAGGAAGGCGTCGAAGGAGCTGGGGTCGGGCAGGAACTTGGCCAGGTGGTGGAAGTGGTAGAAGGAGACGGCCACGTCTTTGGGGTTCCTGGCCACGTAGATCACCTGGAGGGACGCAGAGTCACCCCGCAGCCGGGGGGATTCCCCTGCACCCCGCTCAGAAATCCCCCAGCGTTTCCCGGCTGCGGGAAGCCCCGGGGGTGCAGGATGTCCCTGCAGGGCCCCCCGGAGCCCTGGGACCGCTCTGACCTTGGCCTTGCTGCGCTGCAGGGCGGGGGCCAGCACGGGCGCGGGCAGGTGCGTGGTGAGGAGCCGCGGGCCGCCCGTGTCCCGCAGAGCCTCCCGGCAGTAGATCTGCTCCAGCCACGGCGCCCTCTCCCAGTTGGGAATGGTCTTGGCCGGCCGGGCGTCGCCGAGGCTGAAGAGCAGCGTCAGGATCTCCTGCATCCAGGTGGTGCCTGCAGGGGTGGCTGTCAGGGCAGGGCCGCGGCACCATGGCACGGCACGGCACGGCATGGCATGGCATGGCATGGCACTGCCCTGGCACGGGTAGTACGGATTGGCACGGCAAGGCACAGCTCAGCCTATCCCATCCCATCCCATCCCATCCCACCCCGACCCCTCCTGTAGCAGCGGCTGGTCTGGCAGTGCCGTGTGCCCCTCCCCGAGCCCCCAGGGACACCAGGCTGGGGCTGGGGACAGCGGGGCAGCAGGACAGGGGCTCGGGCAGCACCTCCTGGCCAGGGGTCCCGGTGCTGTGCCAAAAGTCCAGCGGGACCCGGTCCGGGTCTGTCCCAGCCCCGGCAGCTCCGAGGGAGCTCCCGCCTCAGCCCGGGCTCCCAGCCCCGTCCCCCCCCGTTGTCCCCGTGTCCCCTCACCCGATTTGGGGTAGGTGGCGATCAGCACGTCGCTGGGGCGGAAGGTGAAGGCGGCGGCGAAGCCGAGGGACTCCTGGGTGTGGAGGTGGCCGGGCAGGGCGATGCCCGCGAAGGTCTCGGTCACCTCCATGCGCTCCATGGCCCGGCCGGGCGGGACGCGCCGGGAGCCGCTTAAATAGCGCAGAAAGAGGAAGCGGCCCCGGCGGGCGGGGGGCCGGAACCCCCCGGCACATTCCTGCCGGGGAGCCGGGAATCCGCGCTGGGGCCAGCGCCGGGAGAGCGCGGCTGGCAGGGGCTGCCCGCACCCGGGATGGGATGGGATGGGTGGGGTGGGATGGGAATCCTCCCGTTCCAGAGCCACCGCCGCAGCCGGGGAAACGCGGGAGCCGCGTCACCTCGGGCAGGCCCGGGAAGGCCGAGCGATGCCAGCCCCACACCGTGCCCACCCCGGCTCCCCGTGCCTGGCACCGCAGGAGGGGTTCCCATCAGGAACACCCCAGGATGAGGTGTCCAGCCGGACCGGCCATCTCCGCGTGGCTCCATGCCATTCCCGAAGCGCCGCCAAGGCCTCGCCGGGAAGGACGGCACAGCTGGAGCCGGCAGGGATGCTCAGCGTGGCGGTGCCTCAGTTTCCCCTCGGGACTCTGCAGCGGGACCGGAGTGCGGGGACCCGAGCGCACACGGAGCAGCAGCAGCAGCCCCACAGCCGGCCGTGCCACCCCGCTGTTGCCCCCGGGCATGCGGCGGCTCCGGCTCCACGGCAGGGGTGGCTCTGGGGGGGCCGGAGCCCATCCCAGCCCCGTCACCGCACGCAAGCCGGAAAAGTTCATTCACAGCCATCGCAGGCAGGGACCGCCCGAGTGTCCGGGGCCGGGGTGAGCGGGGCCGGGGGTCCCGGGGGTGCCAGTGCCGAACAGGGGGTGCCGGGGAGGCTGAGGGGCGGATGGGACTGGCGCTTTCCCAACTGAAGAATGTCTGGGCTTCATTAGAGGGATCGGGAGCGTCCCCGCGGCTCGGAGGAGAGGCCGAGGCACGGCCCGGCCACCGGGGCTGGGCTGGGGAGGCCGCGAGGGAGCCCTGGCACTGCCAGGCGGGCACAGGGCAGCCAGGGAGGGGAAAAGCCGCGCTCCTGGTTATTCATTGACGGCGGGAGGGGACGGAGGAGCGCGGAGCGGCCATCCCAGTGCGTGCGCTCTCACGGCGGTGCCGGTCCCCCCCTGTCCCCAGCAGCAGCAGCCAGCGGGAGAAGATGCCCGGCGGGAGCGTGTGGGTGCTGGTGCTGGCGCTGGCACTGCCCAGCACTGGACAGCAGCACCTGCAGGAGGCCGAGCGCATCATGAGCACCACGCCGCTCATCGACGGGTGAGCAAAGGTCACCGGGCCCGCAGCGCGCTCGGCTGCTCCCTCCGTGTGGGAAAACCCCAGCTGGGAAACCCTGCTGGGACAGCCCGGGGGGCGTTCCGGGCCCGGGCACCCCTGGGCCGTGCGGGAACGGGGAGCAGATCTCCCCGGGGATCCCCGTGCCGGCACCCCTGGGCTGTGCAGGAATAGGGGACAGATCTCCCCGGGGATCCCCGTGCCGGCACCCCTGGGCTGTGCGGGGACAAGGAACAGATTTCCAGGGGATCCCCGTGCTAGGGACCTCGGGAACAGGGGACAGCTCTCCCAGGGGATCCCCGTGCCAACATCCCGGGGCTCTGTGGGGACAAGGAACAGATTTCCCAGGGGATCCCCGTGCCAGGCAGCCCAAGGCTGTGCAGGAATAGAGGACGGCTTTCCGAGGGGATCCCCATGCCAGGCACCCCGGGGCTGTGTGGGGACAAGGAACAGATTTCCCGCGGATCCCGTGGCACGGTCCGTGCACCGAGGGGATCCCCGGCGCCGCAGCCCGGCGGGAGCGGGCAGGGTACGGGAAGCCGGGGCTGGGCTGCCCCGGGGGAAGTTCCCGCTCAGTGCTGACGGTGTCCCTGCTCCCTTCTCGGGAGCCTCAGGAGGCGCCGGGCCCTGCAGCTCTCCCTGGTGGAGCAGGGCAGGGGAGCGGGGATGTGGGACCGTGACAGGAGCAGGAAGTGGCACCAGCCCAGACCCTGCCACGTCCCCAGGGGCACTGCTGGGTGTGGGATGGGTGTGCCAGGATGTCCCTGCGGTGACATCCCTGCCGAGGGGGTGTTGGGCTGGCTCCCCTGGGTGTGAGGTTGGAAAGGTGCAGGGGAGCATCCTCAGGGGGGGTCCCACAAGGCCCTGTCCCCTGGGAGGGACCTGTCTCCAGTTCCGGGCTGGAGCTGCTTGGGGGGCTTGTGGCTGAGGGGACAGCTGGGGAGACAGACAGACTGGGGAGGGAATGGATGGATGATGGATGGATGATGGATGGATGGATGGATGATGGATGGATGGATGGATGGACTGATGGATGGATGGATGGATGATGGATGGATGGATGGATGGATGGATGGATGGATGGATGGATGATGGATGGACGGATGGATGATGGATGGATGGATGGATGGATGGATGGATGGATGGATGGATGGATAGATGGATGGAGGGATGCATGGACAGATGGATGGAATGACAGTCAGATGAGGGCACTGTGTGTGTGGCCAGCCAGCAGGGTGGGCAGCCTGCGGACGAGTGGGCCGAGGGCCAGGCCCCTCCTCAGTGCCCACCCTGTCCCTGCCCAGGCACAACGACCTGCCCTGGCAGCTCCTCCACAAGTTCTACAACCAGCTAAGGCTGCCAGCAGCCAACCTGACCCTGCTGAACGACACCCACACCAACATCCCCAAACTGCGCCAGGGCCACGTGGGCGGGCAGGTGGGAGCACCGGGGCGGGCACTGGGGAGGGCAGGGGCACCAGGGAGGGCACCAGAGTGGGTGGGAGGGCACTTGGGAGGGCAGGGGTACCAGGGAGGGTACCAGGGAGGGTACCAGGGAGGGCACCAGGGTGGGTGGGAGGGCACTGGGGAGGGCAGGGGCACCAGGGTGAGCACTGGGGGTCTTGGGGCAGCACCAGAACTGGCAGAGATGTGGGGGGGGGGCAGCAGGGTGGGCAGTGGGGTGAGCAGTGCCCGTGCTGACAGGGTGCCCACGCTGACGGGGTGCCCGCACTGATGGGGTGCCCGTATTGATGGGGTGCCCGCACTGATGGGGTGCCCACACTGACGGGTGCCGGGCAGTTCTGGTCGGTGTACGTGCCCTGCGAGACGCAGAACAAGGACGCGGTGAGGCGCACGCTGGAGCAGATGGACGTGGTGCAGCGCATGTGTGACCTGTACCCAGAGACCTTCCTCTGTGTCACCGACAGCAGCGGTGAGCGGGCACGGGGACGGGCACCGCGGGGACGGGCACAACGGGGCTGCCGAGGGTCCCGCCCGCCCCGCTGATGTCCCCGCCCTCCCGCAGGCATCCGGGAGGCGTTCCGGACCGGGAAGGTGGCCAGCCTGATCGGGGTGGAGGGCGGCCACTCCATCGACAGCAGCCTGGGCGTCCTGCGCACCCTGTACCGCCTGGGTGCCCGCTACATGACCCTCACCCACAGCTGCAACACCCCCTGGTAGGGCCCCCGGGGGCACGGAGGGTGGCAGCGCTGCCATGGGGGGATGTGGTCAGAGGGGTGTCCGCTCTGATGCTCTCCCTGCTCTGCAGGGCTGACAACTGGCTGGTGGACACCAACGATGAGGAACCTGTGCACCACGGCCTCTCACCCTTTGGGAAGGTGAGGAATAACATCAGAGGTGCCCAGGAGCAGTGGCATTGGAGGAATGTGGTACTGGCACCCACTGGCACCATGCTGGGCGCAGTGTTCCATCCGTCTGTCCGTCCATCCCCCTGTTCCCCCAGCCAAAGCCACCCAAGCAGTCCCAGACATGCCCAGAGGGGACCCCTCCCATGTCCCCCTCAGTCCCCAGCCCTGTCCCCTGTCCCTGCAGATGGTGGTGGAGGAGATGAACCGCCTGGGCATGATGGTGGACCTGGCCCACGTCTCAGTGGACACCATGAAGATGGTGCTGAACATCTCCAAGGCCCCCGTCATCTTCAGCCACTCCTCTGCCTACAGCCTCTGCCGGCACCGCCGCAACGTGCCCGACGACGTGCTGCGGCTGGTGGTGAGCGTGGGGCACAGCCAGGGGCACCGGGGGCACAGCCAGGGACATGGGGGACTCTGGGGGCACAGACAGGGACATTGGGGGGCTCCGGGGGCACAGCCAGAGACATGGGGGGCTCTGGGGGGCTCTGGGGGCTCAGGGCTGCTCCTCCCCAGGCCTCCACGGGCAGTTTGGTGATGGTCAACTTCTACAACGCCTACGTGACCTGCAGTGACAAGGCGCAGCTGTCGGACGTGGCAGGTGAGGGGGTGCCCAGGTGGCTGGGGGTGCCAGTGTCCCCCCCTGCCCTGCTCACCCCCGTGTCCCCCCACAGACCACATGGACTATGTGAAGAAGGTGGCCGGTGTCCAGGCTGTCGGCTTCGGGGGGGACTACGACGGGGTCTCGGGGTAAAGGGGGTGATGGATGGGATGGGATGGGGTGGGATGGGATGGGACAGCGTCCCCACCATGGGGACATCCTGAGGGGCAGGGGTGTCCCCTCTGCACCCTGTGTGGGCAGCTGGGGGTGCTGGGGGTGGCCCAGCTGTGAGCTGTGGGGTGGCACAGGGTCCCCACCGGCCTGGAGGACGTCTCCAAGTACCCCATGCTGGTGGCCGAGCTGCTGGCGAGGAACTGGACGGAGCAGGAGGTGAGGGGAGCCCTGGCTGAGAACCTGCTCCGGGTCTTCAGCAAGGTGGAGGAGGTGAGCGGGGCATGGGGAGCACGGGGCACAGGGAGGGACGGGGCAAGGGGACCTGTGGGGACACGAGTGGCACTGGGAGCATTGGAATGGGGATGTATGGGACACGGGGACACTTGGGGCAGCAGCCACAGGTGGAACATCGGGGCATGTGGCACTCAGGAATTTGTGGGTACACAGGGAGGCACGGGGACACACGGGGCACAGGGACGTGTGTGGGATGGTGGCACAGGGACGTGCGGGGTGGCAGGGGCTCCGTGCCCCTCTCACTGGGAGCCCACGCTGTGCCCACGGCAGGTGAAGAGGAGCCTGCAGGGCACGGCTCCCCTCGAGACCCCCATCGCCTTCGAGGAGCTGGAGAGGTCGTGCAGAACCAGCTACGGCTACTCCAGCGGCGCGGGCACCGCCCGGGCCCCGCCCGCAGCCCTGGCACCGCCGCTGGCCCTGGCGCTGCTCCTGGCCCTGCTCTCCTAGCGCCCGCCTGGCACCGCGGGCCTGGCACCGTGCCCGGGGCCGCCGGCCGGGGCGGATCCTGCGCTCCTCCCGACCGGCAAAATAAATCCGTGACTCGAGCAGCGCCCGCAGCGAGCGAGCGAGCGAGCGTCCGTCCGTGTGCGGCGCTGCGGCACAGCCACCGGGTCCTGCATGGGGGTGCTGGGACACCCTGGCATGTCACCGCTCTCCCCGGCGTGCCCCCGGCAGTGTCACCGCTCACCCCGCGTGTCACCGGCCGGGCAGAGCCGCGGGGTCCCGCCCCGCACACCGGGAAGCTGTACCGGCACCGGGAGTGACACATCCCCGCAGCACCTGGCCAGGGCGGCTGCGGAGCTGCCTCCGCAGGATGCTTCCATTAATCATTAGCTAATTAATTGGGTACTTAATTATCTCCTTAGCAATTTCCTCTGGCATTCAGGAACAGCCTGTCTGGGGAGCGGAGGCGGCGGAACAGGCAGGAGGAGAAGGGGAGCCATCGTCTTCCTGTGGCATTCGGGATTTGGCTGAGGCACAGCGCCCGCCTGCCAGCCGGGCACGGGGCAGGGAGGGATGGGCATGGAAAGGGACGGGGAAGGGACAGGAACAGCAGGGGAGGGATGGAAGCAGGGAAGGGAAGGGACAGGAACAGCAGGGGAGGGATGGAAGCAGGGAAGGGAAGGCTGCACCCTCAGCCCCGCTCCTGCCATCGAGGCTGCTGTGGGCAGGTGCTGATGGCAGCATGGCTATGGTGCCACCTCGGTGCGGTGACAAGCCCGGGGTCTCCCCTCGGCGTCCCAGATTGTCCCCAGAAGGGCTGGGAACGGTGCAGGGAGCTGGGCTGGCCCAGCCTGAAGGGGAAGGGAGCTGGGCTGCAGCTGCTCCTGCTCACCCTGGTGCCCCTGTTTGGCCACACAAAAGGGTCAGGTCCCTGCAGTGAGGGAAGGGGGTTGTCCTCACCCTCCAGAATCCCCAGAGTGGGCACCCCGAGGCACTTCCCTGCTCCTGGATGGGCAGAGGCTCTGGGAACAAGAGCAGTCCCTCCCTGCTCCCCCTCAGCTCCAGGGCAGCCCCTGGCACCAGGTCCTGTCCCGGGACAGGGGATCAGACAGGGGGACCACAGACCCCGGGTGCATCCACCCCCCCCAACACACACTGGGCTCTTCAGAGATTGTTTATTTAAACCCACAGAAGGGCGTGGACACGGTTTGGGCAAAAAGAAGGCAAATAAGACAAGCTTAAAAAAAAAACCACCAATGAAACCACAGAGAGACAGCCCAGGAGAGGGACAGGGGCAGGTCTGGAGCCCCAGGGCTGCAGGGACACCGTGCAGGGAGCCAGGCACAAACCTCCAGGGTCCCCCAGCTTCCCAGCCGGCCCCTCGGGAGGTGGGACAAGATCCAGTGCTCTGCTGCAGCCCAAAGCTGCCTCCTCCTCCTCCTCCTCGGTGGAGAGGAAGGCTCTGCGTCCCCAGCCACACGCTCCAAGGCCACTGAACTCGGGAAAAACAACCAGCGCAGCAGGAAGTGTTTGTGCCGGGCAGGGGGCCCCACGACACCCCCCAGAGGTGACAGTTCCTGCTGGGACACCCAAAGGAAACGGAGCTTCCTTCCTGGAGAGCTTCCAGCCATCCGGCAGGGCCGTGGGAGGGGCACAAACGGCTCCGGCAGCGCGGGGAGGGGACAAGGGACAGGGGTGAGCAGCGGGAGGGGACACGGAGAGAGAGCAGCCCCAGCCCGGTGCCAGCAGCGAGGGGACAGAGGGACGAGGCACAAGGATGGAGCAGAGCTGTCCCGGGATGGTTCTGCGCTCCCTGTCACACCCACCCAGCAGGGGCACATTTGGGGACGTGTCTGCGGCCCCCACAGCCCCCAGCGCTGGCCATGGCTCCTCACCGTGCAGGCAGGGCCGGGATAACCATTTCCAGCTGGCAGTGCCCGGGGAATGTGGGCATCGACACGCACGGGGCTGGGCAGGGAGGGCGCTCCAAAGGGCACTTCGTGGTACGGGCTGGGCTGTGGCCGGGGGGCACGGAGCAGCACAGGGCAGGGGACAGCGAGGGAGGGGACACCCGGCTGGGGACAGCGAGGGAGGGGACACCCGCTGGCACCGCCCTTCCTGCAAGGCACCGAGCTGCCCAGCCCCGGCCGGGTTTGGGGACCCCTGCAGGCTCTCCTGCTCCTCCCGAGCAGCCCCTGAGGAGCTCAGCCCCCCGCTCAGCCCTGGGCAGGGAACGCCAGAGGGGTTGGGGAGCAGCATCCCTAAGCAGGGAGATCAATCAATCCCCTCAGTGCTCCCCTCAGACAGGGCGTGGGGCCCTGCCAGCAGCAGCACCCCCAGACAAAGCCCCCCAGAATCCAGCACAGCATTCCCACATCCCCACCGGGATCACAGCAGGCTCAGGGAAGGGCTGTCACCCCCCAGAACAGTCCAGAGGCAGGGGGGCTGCAGGAGGGGGTCCTGCTCCAGCAGTGCCATCCACAGCCCCAGGGAGAGCTCAGTTCCTCAGGGCAGCCAGCCTGCAGGGAGAGCAGCACAGGGAGAGCAGGGTCAGGGCAGCAGGAGCAGCCCCAGGGAGGGCCAGGGAGCCCCTGAGAGCCCCCAGGGATGGGCAGCTCCTCCCCTTGAGGCCAGGGAGGGACCCTGGGAGCACAGGGACAGGGACAGCACCAACCTGCGGGACAGCTGGTCCTCCTGGGAGCGCACAGAGCTCTCCCCCAGGGCCGAGGCGCCCTCGGGCAGCTGGCTCAGCTGGTCCATGATCTCCAGCCCGTTCTCCTCGGCGATCTGCACGATCAGGCTGTCCACCTGCTCCTGCGGCGTGCTCAGCGTGGTGGCCGAGCTCATGGAGTCCTCCATGACCTGGCACAGACACAGCCCTGTCCCCCTGCCCGGACACAGCCCCGCCAGGGGTCTCACCCTGCCCGCCCAGCACTCACCGACGTGTGCACATCCAGGTTCTGCACTTGCTGCTCGAATTTGTCCATCACCGCCGACACCTTCTGCAGGTCCATGGAGCTCAGGGCCTTGTCCAGGGCCTTGGTCACCTGGGCCATGTTCTTCGTCACCTGCAAGAGGAGATTGCCTCAGGGATGCTCTGAGGGCTGCAGACAAACCCAAGCACTGTCCTGACCCATCCCAGGTAGGATGAACCTGTCTGAGGGGTCTGACACCACCACCAGGAGCCCTGCTGGGGTCAGCTGGGGACACGGGGGTGCCGGGGGTTGTCACCCTGATTTTTTAAGATTTTTTAAGTTTCGTGATGTTTACATTTTTATAGCAAACTTTCTCACACGCTTCCTGTAAATAACTTATTGTTTTGCATTCTCTTATGGAGGAGGAGGAATTTGATGGACTGTTGGTTTGCCCAGTGTCACTGGAGAGGTGGAACTTTCTCCCTCCAATCCACTGTCACTCTTGGAGGCCTATAAATGTTAGAGTCAGAAAATAAACCTCCCTTTTTCCACCTTGAGAGCAGCAGTGTGTGTGTGCACTCACGTTGTTTTGTGTCCTACAGGGGGTGACTGGGGGCAGAGAGAGGGGAAGCTCCACAAGGGGATGTGTAGCTGTGATATTTTTTGAACAATCCCTTTGCCAGGATTTTTCTCCTGAGAAGGTGTCTCTGGGTGAAACCACCACACACCCAGCCAGCCAAAGGTGTCTCTGGGTGAAACCACCACAGCTGCCACCTTTGGTCAGGCAGTAAAGGGCCGGACGAGCCCAGGCACGTGTCGCAGACATCTTTATGAAAAATTCTTTCCTTAGGATTTTTCCTCCTGAGAAGCTGAGAGGCCTCAGGAACAAAATGCAAACAATGATTATCTGCTGCTGTGAATGCAACACGTGGACCTTTGATTGGTCTATGTTGGATGTTTCTAATTAATGGCCAATCACAGCCCATCTGGCTCAGACAGAGAGTCCGAGACAGAACATTTGTTATCATTCTTTTCTATTCTATTCTTAGCCAGCCTTCTAATGAAATCCTTTCTTCTATTCTTTTAGTATAGTTTTAATGTAATATATACCATAAAATAATCAATCAGCCTTGTGAACCGTGGAGTCAGATCCTCATCTCTTCCCTCATCCTCAGACCCCTGTGAACACGGTCACAGGCCCATCCCATCGGCTGTATTGTATTTAATTCCAACATAAGAGTCAGCTCCGGTCTCTGCCCTGTTCCCAGGCCCCTGTGAGCACCCCCAGGGCTGGGGCAGCCCAGAGCTCTCCCTTACCCCCTTCATGGTGACGGCCGTCTGCACCTTGGAGGCCACGGCGTCCACGCGCGACGCCATGCGCAGCCAGTTCAGCCCCTCGTTGCGCTTGCGGATGGCGTTCTCGGCATAGACACGGGCACACTCCACGTTCTTCTGCTGCAGGGCCTGCCAGGGCAGGGAGAGAGAGCTCAGAGAGAGCCCCTGGGGCTGCCATGCACAGAGAGAGCCCTGGGCTGTGCCATGCACAGAGAGTCCTTCCCAGCGGGGTCTGCCCTGCCCTGGTCCCACAGCGGGCAGGAGGGGATGGCAGTGCCAGGATGGGCCCCACACTGGGGCAGGGGGGGTTCCAGTGCCAGGATGGGCCCCACACACCTTTTTGACTTTGGCCTGCTCGGCCTTGGAGTCCTTCTCAGCTTTCTTGGAGAGCTTCTCCAGCTGCTTGGCAGTGAACTGCAGGGACAGTGAGGGACAGTGAGGGACAGTGAGGGACAACCAGAGCCCATCCAGCCCCACCCTGCCATGGCAGGGACACCTCCCAGGCTGCTCCAAGCCCTGTCCAGCCTGGCCTTGGGCACTGCCAGGGATCCAGGGCAGCCCCAGCTGCTCTGGGCACCTGTGCCAGCCCCTGCCCACCCTCTCAGCCAGGAATCCCTGCCCCATGTCCCATCCCATCCCTTCCCTTCCCTTCCCTTCCTTTCCCTTCCCTTCCCTTCCCTTCCCTTCCCTTCCCATCCCACCCTCTGGCACTGGACAGCTGCTCCCCTTTGTGCCACCGTGCCACTGCCCACCTGTCCCACCCCTGCCACCCCTCACTGGCCACGCTGCCCGACCCCCTGCCCGCGGCACCTCCGGCCACCCCCTCGGGCCGGGTCCCGGTCCCGCCGCAGGACCAGCCCCGGTCAGGTCGAGCCAGCGGGCGGAACCGGGCCCGGGACTCCCCCGGGACCGGCGGTACGGGATGGAAAGGAGGGGAAGGGCCTCCGCTGCTCTCACCTTCAGCTGGAAGAGCGTGTCTGGAAAGGAAGGAGAGCACAGACTCAGCGACGGGGCCGGTACCGGCAGCGGGTGACCGGCGACCCCGCCCACGCTTCCCGGCCGCCAGTCCCGGCTCCGACCCTCACCCCCAGCCCCACCCCTCCCGCCCCGCCCCGGCCCCGCCGGGAGGCGCCGGTACCGCCCAACCCCCGGTACCGTCCATCCTGCCCGCCGCCGCTTCCGGGTTCTGCCGCCGCTTCCGGGTGACGCCGCCGCCGCTTCCGGGGTGCGCGCGCTGAGTCTCGCGAGAGCGGGGTTGGGGGAATGTCACGTGGGCAGCGGGAAGCATTGGGGTGTAGGACGGAGGGGGCGGAGCCAAAAATCCGGTGCGGGGCGGGACTGAGGGCGGGGCAACGAGAGGCGTGGCTAAATGGGGCGGGGCTATCCCGGGGCGGGGTTGCTATTGGTCCCTCTCTAACAACGGTTTCCAGAGGCTTAATGCGTGTGGGCGGGGCCTGAGTGTGGGCGGGGCCTGAGGCGGGATAATAGCGCGCGTGCGCAGAGCGGAACTCGGCGTCGCGGACATGGCAGCGGCTGAGGCGGGACCAGAACCGGCACCGGGACCGGCCGAGCCTGAGCTGGAGCCCCTGCGGCTGCGGCGGCTGCGCGGAGACGGCTTCTTCGAGGTCCCGGCGGCCGATCGGGTGAGTGCGGCGGGTCCCGGGGTGTGGGAGCCGGGGGGTTCCTTCCCGTGAGGAGCCCTCGGGGCTGAGCGCCGGTTTTGGTTTCAGCTGGGACGGTGCCGCAGCGTGAAGGAGTTTGAGAAGCTGAACCGGATCGGAGAGGGCACGTACGGCATCGTTTGTGAGTGCGGGCTGGGCGTCCCTGGGGGTGGCCGTGCGGACCGGGCAGGGCCCTCGGGGTTAATTCCGCTCCCTGCCCGGGTAGGGATGGCGCTTCCACTGGCTGCCCTCCACCAGATCACAGTGCTCGGTCCAGGCTGGCCTTGGGCACTGCCAGGGATCCGGGGGCAGCCCAGCTTCTCTGGGTGCCTGTGCCAGGGCGGTTTCTTACGGACATCCCGTCCCTCCCTGCCCTCGGGAAGCCATTCCCCGTGTGGAATCCCAGCACGGTTTGGGGCGGGAGGCGCCTGTAGCCCCCACAGTTCCCCCTGTGGCTGGGCAGGGGGGCTGAGGTGAGGTGGGGGCAATGCCAGGTGTGTGTCCTGGTGCCAAGGCGGCCTGTGCTGTCCCCAGACCGTGCCCGGGACACGCTGACCAACGAGACGGTGGCCCTGAAGAAGGTGCGGATGGACAACGAGAAGGATGGTAATGGAGGAGGGGAGCAGGGCTGGCTCTGTCCTGGCACTGCCTCCAGGCCGTTCTGCAGCACTGTGTCCCTCCCTCCCTCTCTCCCCCAGGAATGCCCATCAGCAGCCTGCGGGAGATCACCCTGCTCCTGCAGCTCCAGCACCCCAACATTGTGGAGCTGAAGGACGTGGTTGTGGGAAACCACCTGGAGAGGTGAGAGTCCCCTGTGTGTCCTCCCTGTGCCTCCCAAACCTTCCCTGGAGCCCTGGGCTGCCCCAGCAGCCAGAGCTGTGCTGGGGGAGGCTCTGACCTTGCCTTGTGTCCCACAGCATTTTCCTGGTGATGGGGTACTGCGAGCAGGACCTGGCCAGTCTCCTGGAGAACATGCAAACGCCCTTCTCGGAGGCTCAGGTACAGGCTGGGGCAGGATTTGGGTCCAGCACCATTGAGAGGGTGCTGCCATTCCATGAGGGCACTGTGAAGGGCTCCCTAGACCTTGAGCTGGGGGATTCCAGGGATTCTGATGGAGCTGGGCTTTGCTGACTCTCAGGGAAGCCTTCAGGGACTTTGCAGGCTGGGTTTGGGGCTGGAGCAAACTGTCAGGGAAACAGAGCTGGGGGAAAATGCCCACCCAGAACCCCTGGGAGGACACAGGGATGGAGGGACTGCAGGACACCCCAGGGGGTTTGGGCAGTGTGGCTTTGTGCCGTCAGCGCTGCTCCCACAGAGGTGACAGCTCCTGTCCTCTGTCCCCAGGTGAAGTGCATCATCCTGCAGGTGCTCAGGGGCCTGCAGTACCTCCATGAGAACTACATCATCCACAGGTGGGAGCGGCAGGATGGGGCTGGGGGACAGAGGGGGGTCTGGGGACACCTCCCACGTCCTGGGAGCACCGGCAGGGCAGGCAGGCCATGGAACGATGGGATTGGAATTTCTGTGCGCTCTCTCAGCTCCAGCTGCTGTTTCCCACAGGGACCTGAAGGTCTCCAACCTGCTGATGACTGACAAGGGCTGTGTGAAGATAGGTGAGTGCTGGCACCTGCACTGGGCCCTGGCTGCCCTGTGCCACGAGCACAGCTCAGAGCTGGGCTCCCTCCTGACTGCCACTCTCTCTTGCAGCTGATTTTGGCCTGGCACGCACCTACGGGATGCCCCCTAAGCCCATGACCCCCAAAGTGGTGACCCTGTGGTGAGTGGCAGTGCCAGGGTGGGTGTCCCACTGGGATAGGTGGTGCCAGCTCTGACACTGAGTGTCCCCTCTGCAGGTACCGTGCACCAGAGCTGCTGCTGGGCATGACCACCCAAACCACCAGCATTGACATGTGGTAAGGGGGGCTGGGGGCTGCAGGGGGGTCACTGGGGAGGGCTGCACACTGCAGGGGGGTCACTGGGGGGGCTCCTGTGCTCCGCAGGGCTGCTGGCTGCATCCTGGCCGAGCTGCTGGCACACAAACCACTGCTGCCAGGCACCTCTGAGATCCACCAGATCGACCTGATTGTGCAGCTCCTGGGGACACCCAACGAGAACATCTGGCCGGTGAGAGCTCCCTGCCCGTTCTCCCCCTGTCCCTTCTCCCTGGAGCTGCCCTGGCCCCTCCTCACACCCTGTTCCCCCAGGGCTTCTCCAAGCTGCCCCTGGCCACGCAGTACACCCTGCGCAAGCAGCCCTACAACAACCTCAAGCACAGGTTCCCCTGGCTCTCGGAGGCTGGGCTGCGACTGCTCAACTTCCTCTTCATGTATGACCCCAAGAAAAGGTAAAGCCAGGCAGGATGTGGGGTGGGCAGGGCAGGGACCTGTCCCACGCTGTCCCCCAGCCTGGGGTGGTCCCTGCCACTTGTCCTTGTCCCCGCAGGGCCACGGCCAAGGACTGCCTGGAGAGCTCCTACTTCAAGGAGAAGCCCTTGCGTGAGTACTCGCCGTGCTGGGGCGGGGCAGGGCTGGGGGGCTTTGGCCCTGCTGACTGACCCCTGTCTGTGCCCCACAGCCTGTGAGCCCGAGCTGATGCCCACCTTCCCACACCACCGGAACAAGCGGGCGGCCAGCACGGCCCTGGAGAGCCAGGCCAAGCGCAGCAAGCCCTGAGCTGTGCCCTGGAACAGCCTGACGTGTCCTGGCTGAGGAGGATTCCCTCAGCCCAGCAGTCCCAGCGCCATGGGGACGGCTCCTCCATCCACCTGCCCGTGCAGGACAGGGCAGGCTCCGATCTGCGGCCGGGTGAGCAGGGCCCCAGAGCCAGGAGAGAGGAGAGATGGGGCCCGGGGATGCCCAGGCTTGGCAGGCTCAGTCCTGTCCCAGGTGGGTCCTGGTTTGTGCTGTCTGTGGGGGGAACCCCGATTCTGCCATCAATAAAAGCATCTGGCAGTGGCAACATTGCGTTGAGCGACTTCAATCTTTGGTGCCAGCAGCAGGAGTGGGAGAAGCTGTGGGGACAGGCATATCTCCATGACAGCTCAGGTTCTGTCCCCCTTTAAGAGGGTCCTGGTCCCCACTCTCAGGGAGCCAGGAGCTGCTCCTGCAGGGCACTGTGCTGTCAGGTATCCCTGCACCCCTGCACCGGGCACCTTGCCCCCCCTCACCAGGACAGAACACCCCATGCTGAGGCAGCCACTTTACTGATGCACAGAATAATTTACAGCAGCAGTGCCCGGGCTGGAGCAGGGCCTGGCACCGCTGTCTCAGGGGCTGATGAGTCCAGGTCCTTGTGCCAAGCAGCAGGGCCCTGTCAGGAGCTGGGGGCAGAGCCCCGGGCCAGCAGCATGTCCAGCTCTCAGCACTGTGTCAGGAGCTGGGGGCAGAGCCCCGGGCCAGCAGCATGTCCAGCTCGGTGCGCTGCAGCCACAGGCGCTGCTGCCGCTCCCCGTGCAGCTCCTGCCCGCGGTGCTGGCTGCGGCAGGCGCGGCCCAGGGCGCAGCCGCCCCCGTGCAGCTGCCGGCAGGTGCTGCAGCAGTACGAGGGCAGCATGCCCCGCTGCAGGCACGAGTGCAGCTGGTAGCAGGGCAGCTCTGGCGTGGCCTGGGGGGAATCCCGGGGCTCCCCCACCACCTGGGGACTTGTGCTGGTCCCCACCAGCTCAGGCTGCGGGAACAGGTGAGAGGAGGTGTCCGGATCGGTGCTGCCCACAGGCTCTGGCCCCAGCGTGCTGTCGCAGCGGCCCCAGTCCCTCGCGGGCACGTCCTGAGGGTCCCTCCACAGCGCTCGGGGGGCCGTGTCCTTGCTGCCCATGTCCTCAGGGCTGTCTGGCCTCTCCTGGTAGAGATCCACGCTGTCACCACAGTCGGGAGCTGCCCTGCGCTGTGTCCCCAGGTCCTGCAGCATCTCCAGCCATCCCTTGGCACCCCCGGCCCGGTGCCGTGCCTCCAGCAGCTCCTCGGCGCGGGGCTGCCGCAGCTGCAGCGCCAGCTCTGCCAGGATCTCGCACTCCAGGCGGCAGGCCAGGAAGCCGACGGCGGCGGCGATCAGCGCGGGCCCCGGGGGCAGCCGGCTCACGGCCAGGCGGTGCCGCTCCCGCCGCTCGTAGCCCAGCCGGCCCAAACTCCGCAGCAGGTCGGCTTCGGGGAGCGCCGGGCGCAGCAGGTGCACGTAGGCGCCGGAGAAGGTCTGCAAGGAGAGCGGGGAGCGTGGCTGGAGGTGCCTGGGTACCCCCACACCATCCCCTCGCCACCTCGGGGCCTCACCGGGATGCTGCCGAACTCCCGGCGCCACGGGAAGAGGTAGAGGTTGACGGCCGCCAGCTCCAGCAGCCGGAAGGCGCCGGCCAGGCCTCGCAGCGCCAGCCCGGGGTCGGGGTGGTCCCGCAGCCCCCGGGCCAGCAGTGCCAGGGCGTCCTCCTGCAGCGCCTCCAGCAGCGCCGGCTCCTGCTGCAGCCGCTGCCGCAGCCGCTCCGCCACGGCGGGGCCGGGGCAGGTCCCGGCGGGGCCGAGCTCCCGCTGCAGAGAGCGGCGGTACTCCCGGTGGAACTCCTGCCGCAATTCCTGCCCGAAGTCCTGCCGCTGCTCCTGCCGCAGCGCCGAGCCTGCACACATCCTGCGGGCACAGCAGCGTGAGACCCCTCCCCGGTACCCCGGGTCCCCCTCCCGATGCTGTGAGGATCCCCCGCCAAAGCCTCGGATGCGGAACTCCGCTCCCCCGAGGCCTCCCGGGCACCTCCCTGGTCCCAGTGCCCCCGGTGCCACTCCCCGGCCCTGGTTCCACCCCCCATCGAGGGCTGCCGGTGTTCCCAGCCGGCCCCGGTTCCGCCCCGGTCCCGGTTCCCCCGCACCTGCCGCTCCCGCTCCCGCCCAGCTCCCCTTCCGCGAGCACCGGGCCGGAACGCACGTGCCGCCCGTAGCTCCGCCCCGGGGCGGGGCCGCGCCCGCGCCACAGCTCCCCCTGCCGGGCGGGAGGACCCGCGGCGCGGCCGCAGCACCTGCCCGGGGTCTGGGGGTCCCGCGCCGCCCCCTCCTCACTGCAGCGACTCCACGTAGGACAGGGCGCTCTGCAGGGACGTCAGGCAGTACCCCTCCTCCCCGATCAGGTACCTGTGCCACAGCCATCGCACTGTCACCACCGGGACACCGCCACGGGCACCGCAGCATCACGGCTGGGGCACCGCCATGACCACAACACCATCACACCCACCGCCCCTCAGCCCTGCTGCTATTCTAACCCACTCCCCACCCTCACAGCCCCGTCCCAGGAGGGTGCTGGTGTCCTGAGCCCGGAGGTGCCTGCATGCCCAGCACCCTGGCACGTACCCCTCATGGATGAACTCCTCCAGGGCCGCACACTCGGAGAGCAGCTGGGGCAGCCCGGTCTGCAGCACCACGTAGGACAGGATGGGCAGCAGGTCATCTGCCCCGCTGTGACAACAGGGGCTGTCAGCCGTGCTGGCCACAGGGACTGGCACCCCAACACCGCGCTGGGCACAGGCCCCACACCCGTCCCTCACTCCCCGTGGTTCCTGCACTCACATGGCGGCCGTGGCGAGGCTCCGGCCGTCCCGGGAGCCGCAGTACTCCTCGGCACACTCGCAGATGCCACGCAGGGCCCGCACTGCGGCACAGGGCGGGCGTCAGGGCCACCATCGCCACCCTGGGCCCCTGCCCCGCGCCCCCAGCGCCGCTCACCGATGCACTCGAGCTTCCTGCGGGGACAGCTCTCCAGCGCCATCAGCCGCAGGTCCTGCACGGCCGAGGCGTACGCGGGGCGGCCGGGCCCGGGCGGGAAGAGGCGCGAGGCCAGCCCCAGGTCGGCGGGGCCGGCGTGCCGGTGCCGCTCCATGCTGCGCGCCAGGGCCGCCTCGCGGGGCTGCTGCACGGTCCTGCGGGCACGGAGGTGACGGGGAGGGGGCCAGGAAGGGGTCAGTGGGTCATGGATCCCCCAATGAGGGTCGTGGTACCTGTAGAGGGCCAGGAGCGGGGCCCACAGCGGGGGGAAGAAAGCCTCCTCCAGGCAAGCCAGGCACTGGTCCTTGCCGGCGGCGGTGCCGAGCCCCTCGAAGGCCAGCAGAGTGAGAGCCAGCAGCCTGTCTGGGAAGGGTGAGACACGCAGCACGCTGGGACCCCCGTCCTACCCACACTGGGACCCCCATCCTGCTCCCGCTCCCTCGGCTGTCCCTCACCGATGGCGTTGTGGATGTCCCTCACGATGCCCTTCAGCAGCTCCGGCAGCGCCGCGTCCTGCCCGGAGCTGGCCGGGGGCTCTGCGGGGGCCCAGCCCTCGGGGGACGCCAGGAACCGCTCCAGGTCCTCGAAGGAGCTTTCCCGGGGGGGCTCGGCGGGCCCCGGGGCGCCGCTGTCGGCGAGGGGCGTGCTGGAGTGGCTGTGCCGCAGCGCGGCCGGGCCGTGCTCGGGCACCGAGAACATGCAGTGCAGGCTGCGGGACGCTCGGAGCCGGCGGCCCCCGGGCTCGGCGGGCAGCGAGGAGCCCCCGGCGTCCAGCGACAGGAAGGACAGGGCCGAGGGGGAGCCGGGGGAGGCGTCGGCGGGGCCGCGGCTGACGGCGGGGTAGAGGCGGGCGTACACCGCGCACTGCAGCCGCCGCAGCAGCTGCGAGATGGGGTGCTCGGGGCAGCTGCGGGCACAGGGAGGGGATGGGCAGGGGGCACGGGCAGCACCTGCAGCCCCCTCGCTCTGGCAGGGCCGTGCCCACCCCTGCAGTACCTCAGGAGGCAGGAGAAGAGCCCTGACACCACGGAGAGATCCGCCGGGCTCCGCTTCAGCTGCGCCTTCCACTGCCTTGGCCAGTCCTGGGGAGTGTCCAGGGCTGGTCAGGGGGATGGTGCAGCACCCTGCCCCATGGCACAGCCTCCAGCCCCGTGGCACAGCCTCCAGCCCCGTGGCACAGCCTCCAGCCCTGCCAGCAGCCCCTGGCACACACTCACGTGGTCCTGCTCATACTCAAGGATGGCAGCGTAGAGTGCTCGCTGCTCCTGCTCCTCGGGGGTGAGTGCCACGCTGCTGGAGAACCTCCTGGGGACGGCCCGGGCCAGTGAGGGCACTGCTGGGTGTCCCCAGAGCTCAGGGTCCCGCAGTGACATCCCCACTCACCGGTTGGCCGCCTCCTGCAGCCGCAGCCGCCGCTCTTCCATCTTGCGCTGCAGCTGGGCCAGGCACAGTTAAGGGCCCAGAGCCACCAGCGTGCTCACCCACTGCCCTTCTCCCTCCTCCATCCCCCAGCTGGGACCCCAGAGGCCTGCGTGGGGTGGGTGACAGCCAGGACAGGGCAGGGGCTCTGGGAGCAATCCCACAGGGAAGGATACAGTCTCCTCCCGGGCCTTGGCGATCACCAGGTTCTCCATCATCTGCCGCTGCAGGGACAGCGTCTGCGGAGCAGGAGGGCAGTTGGGAACATGCACCCACACCTCATGGACACCAGTGGGGATCCCCCAGGGACCCTCTCCCTGCCTGGCTCCCAGCTCCTCCCCAGCCCCCACTTGCCAGAGATGTTTTCTGCACAGCCTGGTTTGGGTTCAGCCGCGCCACCCGCGCCTCGTAGGCCGCCTTCAGCTTCTGGTTCTGCAGGGAGGCCTCCTCCAGCGGGGTCAGCTCCCTGTAGGAACGGCCTCAGCACTCGCCACAGGGCACAGGACACGTGCCAGGACCACATCCTGCTCGTGACCCCGCAGGCAGGCATGGGGCCAACGCCAGTCCTTGTGTGGCAGTTCTTGCCAGACCCCGTGTCCCAAACCCCTCGTGTTTGAACCCCCCATGTCCTACCCGCTGTGTTTGAGCCTCCCACATCCCAGGCTTTGTATCCCAGCCCACATCAGCCCCCATGCTTCACCACTCTGTGTCCCAGCCCCGTGTCCCATCTGCCAGCTCCGAGCCCCCCGTACTTCCGAGCGCTCTGTGCCTCGGCGATCTGCAGCTTCTGGAAGATCTCCGGGGGCAGGAACGGCGAAAGCTTCCCCCCCTCGTCCGAGCAGACGCGGCGGTGCCTGGGGAGGGGCGCCGGGCCCCCGCCCCGCTCCTGCGCGGCCGCTTTCACCTGGGCTTTCCCTGGGGAGGGGGCAGGACAGGCGGGCTGTGCCCCACCACCAGCCTGGCCCTGCGGGGACACCCGGCTCCCCAAAACGGGACCCGCACCCCTCACTCACCCAGCGCCGCCGCGATGGATTTCACCCTCTCCAGGCACTGCTCCGCCAGCTTCAGCAGTTTGGGGGTGTCAGGGGTGACCCCCTCGCTGTTCTCTGTGGGGAGGGCGTGCTGAGGGCACTGCAGGGCCTGCACCCGCCGCCCCGGCTCCTCGGGGGGCACAGGGGGTCCTGCCCTACCTGTCCCTGCCGCCTCCTCCTGCAGGGCCTGGGCGATCAGCGTGATGCTCTTCAGGTACTCCACGTACGCCTCCTGCCAAGGCGGGGGCTGAGCAGGGACCCGGGCAGGGGAGCTCGGGAGCCCCCCCGGCCTCGGGGGACCGAAGCTCCGGCTCCCAGCGGGATGCAGGGCAGCCCGGGGATGCGGGGGCAGCCCGGGGATGCGGCCCCGGCAGCGGGGCGTGAGTCCGGGGCCGCAGGGGGAGCCCCGGGGTGCCGGATGAGACCGGGGATGCTGCGCCGGGAATGGGGGTGAGGCCGGGGACGAAGCCGAGGGATGCGGAGGGAGCCCAGGGATGCGGAGGAAGCCCAGGGATGCAGGAGAAGCCGAGGATGCAGGAGGAGCCCCGGGATGCAGGAGAACCCGCAGATGCAGCCCCGGGGATGGGGGTTGAGCCCGGGGATGCGGGGGGAGCCCCGGGGGTGCAGTCCCGGCGCTGCGGCCGAACCCGGGGGTCCCTCCCCGGCCGTGCCCGCGCTCACCCTGGTCCGGCCGGCGCTGTCCATGCCCAGGGCGCCGCTCGCCGCCCTCATGGCTCCCTGCAGGCCGCGGCCCCCCCGGCCCGGCGCGGGCCCCTCGGCGCCCCCCGGCGCGGCCATGGCCGCGGGGCCGCCCGGAACGGCGCGCTGGGGCCGCGGGCCCGCCCGGAGCGCGGCGGGACGGACCGGGCGCGGCGGGTCCCCCCGGCCGGCGGGGGCGCTGCGGGCGGGCGGAGCCGCCGGGCCCGGCGGGGACGATGAAGCGCGATCGGCGCGGGCGGTTCCTGGCGGCCCCGGGCGGCCCCCGGGCCCCCCCCGCGCCCCGCCGGACCCCCGGCACGGCCGCCCGCGGCTCCGAGCCCGCCGAGCCCCCCGCGGCCGCCGCCTGCGCACCGGAGGCAGGTGAGGCCCGAGCGCGGGGACCGGGGCGGGGGGAGCGGGGGCACGGCCGGAGCCGTTTCCCCGGGGCCGGAGCCGCCGCGGGGGCACCGGCGAGACCGACCGCCAGCGGCACGGGCCGCGAGCACCGGGTACGGGCGAGGCTCGGTGTGGCGGGGCTCCCTCCGCACGGCCGGGTCTGAGCCCCCGTCCCGGGGCTCGGTACCGAGCGGGCGGCAGGTCAGAATTTGCCCGTTTGTGTGGAGTTTCTGCCCCCTGAAACACGGAACATCCCGGTGCCGGTAACGGCAGGGTAAGGAGCAATTCGGCACACGGGCAGGGAGAGCGGGGGCTCCTCCCGCCAGCTCGGGGTGCTCTGCCGCTGCCTCCTCCGGTTTGGCGGTGACCGGGACCCTCCCGCCATCCCGGTTTGGGGGTGCCTGGGACCCTCCCGCCATCCCGGTTCGGGGTTTGGGGTGGCCGATACCCGGGTGTGCTGCAGCTGGGGCAGGAGATAAGCGAGATCTCCAACGGCTCCGGTGGGTGCTGGGACACCGGCGTTGCACCGGGACCGCGGCTGGCACGCGGGGCACGTTCTAACGGGGGGTTCAGCCCCCCAAGACACTTCCCCGGGAGGTGCTGCCCTGTCCCACCACCCTGTCCCAGCTGTCCTGGCAGCCCGCTCCCACCCCAGGGTTCGGAGCACGGCTGGGTTGGATCAGGGCCGAGAGGGGGCCGTGCTCGGGATTCCCATCACACCTGGGATGCAGCAGAGGGATGGAGATCATCCCAGAGTGGGGATGGCACAGGTGACACTGCTGGGTGACACTACTGGGGAGCTGAGGAGTGGGACAGCCAGTGTTGGAGCAGCCAAGGGACACAATGCCAGCTGTAAATCCTTGGGAGACGAACACCCGGGAAGAGCTGCTGGAACCAAGGCATGGCATTGGCAGAGTCCTGGGAACCCCACAGCACAGAGCAGGCTCTGCCACCGGCCCAGTGGGGCCAGAAGGGCTGATTTTGGATCAGCTGCTGTTCTTTTCCTGCCTGGATTTCCCGTGCTTTGCTGAAGGCAGGGCTAGGGCGGCAGCTGGGGTGGAGGGGAAGGGAACACCTCGGTGCCACCCCTCAGCAGCCGCGTTTGCTCCTCCCGGGCAGGAATCGGCCGAGCGCTGAGCACCGGCTACTGCCGCCTGTGCCACGGCAAGTTCTCCTCGCGGAGCCTGCGCCATGCCTTCGGCAAGGTGCCCGTGCTGGGCGAGAGCTCGGAGAAGCAGCGCCGCGTGGACCAGGTGTTCTTCGCCGACTTCCAGCGCCTGGTGGGCGTGGCGGTGCGCCAGGACCCCGCGCTGCCCCAGTTCGTCTGCAAGAAATGCCATGCCCAGTTCTACAAGTGCCGCAGCGTGCTCCGCACCTTCATCCAGAGGGTGAACGCCTCGCCCACGGGCTACGCCAAGGCCAAAGGAAAGTACGTGGCCTTCCCCGCCTCCCGTGCTGCCCCGTGTTCCTCCGTGTTCCCCCATTCTGCCCCGTGCTGCCCCCTGTTCTCCCGTGCTGCCCCATGGTCCCTCCATGACCCCCAAACCCCACTGTGCCCCTCTGGTTTTTGCAGGAGCAGCGGGGTCCAGGCACAGCCGGGTGTGGAAGGAGGTGCCTCCTGCCTGGGTGAGTGCCCACCCTCTTTTTCTTTCTGCCCCAGCACCAGCAGAGGGCTGGGATGATGGGTGGTGGGAAATGACCATGTCTGAGAGGGTTCTGGTGTCCTTTGACACAGCTGGTTACGGTTCTCCTTCCTCCCTTTGGCTGCTCAGGGGTATCTTCACCTCCCTGAGCTGGGCCAGACAGGCAGAGGCTCACCTGGGGGTGCCAAGAGCAGGCAGAGCAGATTTGGGTGGCAGTGCCAGTCCTGTCCTAGCTGGTGTTGGACACCGGGGACAATTGGAAATATGAAATACCCTTTCAGCTGTGGGTGATGGAGGGAGGTGGTGCAGCCACTGTCCCTGGAGGTGTTTAGGGAAAAACTGGATGGAGGTGTTTAAGGAAAGACTCAGTCCTCTGGTGGACGGGGTGGTGTTTGGTCATGGGTTGGACTCGGTGATCTCAGGGGTTGTTTCCATCCTCAGTGGTTCTGTGAGGAAACAGGAGCGGGTGTTGGCACTGCCCCGGTGAATGAAATGAAATTTCGGGAAGGGAAACGGGGTGGTTCCCACCTGCCTTGTGGGGCACCCCTGGCAGGGGGAGCAGCTCCACATGCCCGTGTGCCCAGGCCTGACTGCGCTGCCCCTCCTCTCCCCTCCTCTCCCCGGCAGTGGAGCTGATCACGTCCAGCCCGCAGTGCCTGCACAGCCTGGTGCGCTGGGCGCACGCTCACGCCGGGGGCTGCGCCTCGGTGCCGGCGCTGCGCAGCGTGCTCTCCTCCGAGTACTGCGGCGTGCTCCGCGCCTCCTGGGGCTGCGCCGACGGCCACGACTACGTCATGGACACGGGCTCGGACCGCGGCCCCGCGCTGCTCGACACCGCCGCGGCCCTCAGGTGTGACTGGGGCAAGGGCCCGGCGCAGCAGCGCCTGACTGACAACGGGGCCGAGGCTGTTGCTGCCCCCAGAGCCCAGCAGGCCGCAGCAAGGACGGCTCCTGGCCAGCGGCCCCCCAGCACGGGGAGCACGGGGTGCGCGGAGAAGGAGCCCACGCAGGACAGGGATCCGTCTCCCTCGCGGCTGGACGGCGCCGCCTCCGTCCGGGAGCGGGCCCTGCCGCAGCCCGTGTCTCCTCTGAGCACTGCCACAGGTAAGGGATTTGCTTCCTGAGATCTGTCCCAGCCTCAGGGGAAGGACAGGGAGCTGGAGAGGCGGCCCAGGGAGTGACAAGGGGCTGGGCCCTCTCCTTGGAGACTGCTGTTCCTCAAGGAGAGCGCAGATCCTTCTGGGAAGGGCTCAGAGATTGGCCTCCAATTGAGGAGGAGGATGCTGAGCCATGCAGAAGGGACAGGGGAATACAAGGTCATATTCGTGGCCCTGTGTGCTGTTCCCATTCTGATAGAGGGGAGACCCTGCTGCCAGGCTCTTCCTGGGGATGTGGAATGGTCACTGGTTCCTCTCAGCACCGTGTTTGCCAGATGTTTCTTTTGGCTTGACCCTGAAGCTGGGTCTCCCTGCTGTGCAGCAGCTGATGCTGAATCCCAGGAGGCCCTTCTGCCCCTAAAGGAAAACTGCTGAGTGGGTTTGGGCTGGGTGCACTGCCCCAAACACCACTAACAGAAGTGAGGAATTAACACCCATTTTGAGTTCCAGAAGCGGGGCCGTGTTTAGCTCCAGCCCTCACAGGAGATGTCGGCTGCTGGACACGAGAATGGCAGCTGGGGGACAATTCTCTCAGTTACAGGTGTCACAGGAGGAACCAAGAGCTGCTCCTGGGAGCTGCAGGGTCAGGGTGGAGCTCAGGGAGAGCCGTTTCTGGGCAGAGGGGACAGTTTGGTTCAAGCAATCACTGATTGCCACGGAGCACGTGTTCCCCACGGTGTGACCACGCGAGTGCAGCCAGAGCAGTCGGCTCCTCCTCAGTGGCTCTGCTGCTTTTCCTTGTAACCCACCGTGTTCTCCTTCCTTCCTTCCCTAGGCCAGTTGAGTGGGAAGCAGGTTCTGTCTGCAACGTCGGATGAGCGGGTAAAAGACGAGTTCAGTGACCTTTCTGAGGGGTGAGAGAAGAGTGGGTTTAACACAGCCTAAATGTCTTCTTTGCCAGTGGGAACCCCCAGCCCCGAGAGCTCTTCCTCCACCAGCACCAGGGGCTCGGAGCCGTGGCTCTGCCACCACAGAGCTCATGGCACTGGGGCTCTGAGCTCCCTCCTGTGCTCTGGGGGGTTTGCACACACGTGTGCTCCGTGTTTGTGGGCTGCTCCCAGCAATCCTGGCCCTGCTTGTCCCCTCTCTGCTGGGGAAGGAGCCGGGAGAGCAGTGGGAGCGGGAATGCAGGCACGGGGTGGCACGTGGAGAAACCACCTTGTTTGCTTTAACTGGGAAATGGGAGAGGGAGGGACCTGGCAGCTCTGCAGTCCGTTGTGAGCGAGGATTTGGCTCAGTCCAACACAGGGGTTTGGAATGGGGCTGTAAATACAGGAATCCAGGCATTGCCAGTCTAAAGGCCCAAGTGCAGAGTGACTCCAGAGTCAGCTGAGCCTGTCAGCTGTCACATCAAAAGGGCCGCAAGGATTTCTTGCCTATTTCCTGTCTTCAGGAATTAATTGCTTCTTGTATGGCTTAAGGCCTAAAAGGAGGGAAAAGGAAAGTCCAAATGTGGCTGTTCCATTTGAGGGAATGCAGAATGACCCGCAGCTTCATTAACCTGCGCCAGACAATTATGTGACATTCTTGCTCCACAAAATTCCTTTTCCCAGTAGAGGAAGCAGCAGCCACATCCCTCACCCATGAATAGATCCTTTCAGTAACAGCCGTTTTTTTGTTCTCCTGACAGTGGTTTGATTATTCTTGCAGAGATTTAGCCCTAACAGGACCTGGTTTGGGTCCTTGCTGCGTTCACCGGTGCTGGGGAGAGGACGGGGAGGAGAACACGTGCCCTGGGGGAGATGGATGTGCTGGGAATGGGGAAGTGCTGGTGCTGAGGGTCAGCCCGAGGTCACCTTGGTAAAGGGCAGCTTCTCCCTCTCAGGGACTTCTTGAGCGACGACGAAAGCGAGAAGAGAAACGTGCAATCCTCAGACGACTCCTTCGAGCCTTACCCTGAGAA